GGTGGATGAAGCACTGCAAGTGTCCTGGCCTGAAGGGAATGTCTGGGGCTAGGAGATACGGCCTTCTGTCTTGTGGAAGCTGTGCTCCCAAATGGAGGAGTTACAGGAGGACAGCACTAGAGAAGAATAAAGGTGATAGGCAGGATCTTTTCTGCAATATAGCAAATTTGAGAGCCCCAAAGCCCATCTGTAATAGAGAGGCAGTTTGCTCCCTCAATATTAAGGTAAGTGCAACCTCTGGAGAAAGTGAAGGATGGAAGCTGGTGACTTCTGGCACTAAGAGGAAGGCTGCTGGTGACTTCTGGCACTAAGAGGAAGGCTCCTGGCGACTTCTGGCACTAAGAGGAAGTCTCCTGCCCTACCTAAGGGTTTGGAAACACAAAACAAGTTTACTGCCCTCGAATCTGAAGAGGTATATGGGTGTTGTGTATGTGTTGTGTATGTTAACAGCATGCAGAGTCAAGTGGCTCTCTTGTCAGAGCCTAGAAGCAGTATGCTAGAGCATGAGGATAGCATGCGTGAGACGGACAGCTGAGCCTCTTACTTTTCTCTTGTTCTCTGTTGTCATGAGCTAGAATGAAACAAAACCTTGGGTTTCAGTCAATTGCTGTGGATGGACTTTTTCCGAACTCTGCTGCCAGTCATCATTGGAGTAGCTTATTACATCCTTCAAAATCCGCATTGCAAAAAGTCTTCCTGGAACTACAAAGCATCCTCACTTCAAATGAGAAATATTTGGGCAGTGTAATAATGGTATTCTCCACTTTGTGTAGCAGGGCAAACGTGTTGGGTACCTGCTTTTTACCCCTGAGCTGAAGTCTCTCCTGTCTGCTTTAGAGCCAACAAGTATGCAAGCAGTGAATTGGCAAGATCTTGGAAATGCTGGATGTGAATTTATTCTTGTTTTCAACGCCTCCAATTTTCTTTTCATGTTCAAAGCAGTAGACAGTTCAAATGACTGTGTTCCTGTTGAAAAGGGCTCAAGTCCACTGGTTACAAGAAACACTTAGCTGAGTAGCTTCAAGTTTTTTTTGGTAATCAAGAGTTTAATAGACAAATCTTATTTTCCCCCATAAATACTTGGATATGTCACTACCAGTGCAATATATTCTTTAATGCTCTGTGTCAGTCATGAATGTGAAAAAGGCCATGGGTCGGTCATCTTCCTTTATATACACCTGTATTTCCTTAGAAAGCATTGACATTAAGAACATATCATGTCACCAGGATTGGTGTCAACCAGCAGAACTAACCAATGTGCTTACATTGCCTCCTTCAATCTCTGAGACATATTGAAATATAACTTAGAATCTAATGACTTAACCATGCTCAGAAAACATGGTGCAAGCAGATTCTGCTAAGAGTACAATACATCAAAGGAGTGTTTCACTAGTGTGTCCTTCAGATAGGACATAGATGAACGTTCCTTTAATTGAAGCAAGTTTTGCAGACAAAGACAAAAAATATGGAATGCTAAAGGGAAAAAAAAAAACATATAGGAGGTGATACATATCAGACAGTTGGGTTTGGCTTGCTTATTGCAGGCAGCTTTCCTTTTGTATCTCCACATTGCTGGGAAATGATGTTTCTGTTCTTGTGGTTCCTTGCTAATAATTTCTGTAATTTCCACTGCTGGCTTTCAGATTACAAATATGTACACTGGACTGTACCTAATAAAACACTTCCTTACCTGCTACACAATTTCAAGGCCTTGTAGAGGTCACATTTAAACACTTGTTCAGGATCTCAAGTGTGCGATGGGATCAGCAGGACTGAGCTTTTTGCTTATTCATCTTCAGAACACTTTCAGTAGTGCTGTGAAACTTCCATTCAATGACATTTGATTACACTACTTGTAAGGATATTCACCAGAGCAATTATTCTGCCTTGTTCAAGGATACTATCTGCTTCAGGTAAGAAAACGCAGTGCCATAACCATGAAAGAAAACCTGTCAAAGCAGTGTATTCTGAGCCTTGTATGCTCAGAATGGGCACTGTTCGTGGCTTTCCCAGTTGATTTTTCAGCAGAAATCCTGTGCTATTATAACTCAGCTGGAGACTTTCCTTTCTATTCTGCCACTGTAATGCACTGCTAACACATGCTGATCTGGCAAATCAGGTGAGTCATGCAGAAACCCCCATCCACCTATGGTTTTTCCAATTTACAGAATCTTCCCATTACAGGAGCAAATGCTTTTAAAAGCCCATCTTCTCTCCAGCATAGATACTCCTAAGTGGCACCTCAATAAGTGGGCTTCCTTACAATGACAACAGTTTTCTCTTATTTCTGATCAACTTGCTTATTCCTACCATAATTGTCAAAAAACTACACTGCTTTCAAAAAATGAGGGAGAGCAGGCATTTTAATGTTTTTAACTGGTTTTATACAGTTGTAAATTTTAAGTGACATAGGTATGACAAATGTCTGGTTTTCACATATCAGTCATGTAAGACACCACTGAATCAGGGCTGTTTAACTAAAGAAGAAATGAAAGGGTCTGATTCTCCATCTGTTGAAGTCCCATGGGTGTAAGTTCAATAAGAGCAGTACCTCCTCTTTGATGGTTTCCTAGATATTGCTAATCTATATTTAAAATCTGTTTTAATTAAACTTGAAAATTAATTTCCTTTAACATCTGTTTAAAATAGATTAGAATTAATGAAGTCTGACCCCCTTATGGGTTAGCACAAGTGAAATAATTACTCTTCAGCAGCACAGGACACATTGTACTGGACTTTCTGGCTCAAGTTAGTGGTGGGAAGTCAAAGGAAGTTCAGGAAATACCAGAAGCTTTGAACTGCATTTGAAAATTTAGGTTTGGGGTTTCTCTTTATGAAAATTGAAAATGCATGTGCTAAACTTGCATTGTATCACTGCTACTAGTATTGTGGAAAATTACCTGCATAAATTGAATATAGGAATATTCTAATTTGGAACTAAAGTGATTACAGAAAAATTAGTTCCTAAGGATGTGATAAGGCTGGTACTCTTTAAAATAATGCTAATTCAGGTATCATCAACTTGTCTGATTTCAAAGTGAAGGAATTTCTTTCACAAATCCTTTCAGTACCTCTGGGAATCTACTACTGCTGCCTACCACTGCTTCTTACCATTCCAGGTGCATTCAAAGGCTGAAGTCTTGTTTGGCCTTAGATTAAAAAGGATCCAACTACAGAGAGACACAGGGTATTATTCTGACTGCGGATGCTGGCAGTGTAATTAAGTGAGAGCATCTAAAAGGAAAATGAAGTAGTAAAATATTTTTTAATCAGGTGAAATCATTTTCACTAAGTCTTACACAAACCTCTAGTTCTTCAAAGAGTAACACTCTCATTGATCTTCATTGTTAATGAATTTTCATGTACAGATACTTTTCAGAGAGTGAGCTTCTACTGACCCCCACTGAACCTGCTGCCCAACATTGGAAGGTCTGCCTTGACATCTGACAACCTCCTCATAGCTTGGTGACAGCTCTTCCTGCTTCCTCAGGCAATCTGGGAGACCTTAATTAGAGAGGTTCCCTACTGTTAGATTGCTTTGCTTTTTCATTATTGGAAAGATTGCTAGCAGGAAAAATGAAATGTGTTTGCCCTATTTGATACATATGATAGCCTGATCCATGCTCATCTGAACGCCTGTTTCCAGTATGACACTTGCTTGACAGCAGCTTGCAAATTCAGAGTGGGGTCTGAGGAAAAGCTGGCTCTCTCCTGGGTCATAACCTCTTGTGAAGGAGGGTTTTTTAAATCCTCTTCTTCACCCCACACCTACAGCCTCTTTGCAGTGCCTGTGGGATGGCCATGCAAAAGCAGTGTACTTTGAAGCCTGAGTCCTGCTCACAGCTCCTGCATCAGCCTGTTGCCCAGGTGGTGATACAAGCAAAAGGGAAGTACTATTTTAGAACTTGTGGTGAAGGTGGTAGAAAACAAAGTGAAAAAAAAGCCTGAAAAACTTTGCAGATAGGTTTGCTAACCTGTGAATGTCACCAGTCCTCCCTCAGACCCTTGTCAGCCTACAGGAGATGCTGGTGCTGCCAGAGGCCCCAGGTCCAGGGCTTCCCCTCATCCAGGAGTTTCCACTGCTGCACCTGGAGCCCCAAAATGTGGAGGCCTGAGGTTTGAAGTATCCCTGCACTGCCCTTCGTGGGAGGGATCCATTGTTTGAGCATGTGTAGCACAGAGGAGAGGGATGTGGCAAGTGCTGGAGCTGGCAGCGGGCAGCATCCCAACCCACGCCTCTGAAACAATATCTGAATGTGTCTTAGAACAAGGTGTCAGCCAGCCATCAAACCTTTTTGCTGTAGAGGAAAGGCATGCAGGAGTTCCAGATGGGGGGGCAGTGTTAGTGGGGTGCACTTGGGCCTCCCTCTAGACCCGAGCAGCTGCAACCTGCTGCATTTGAGCAAGACCCAGATGTTCACATTCCTGCCAGCACCACAGTACTTTGTAAGCATGGTGTGACAGTGGTGTTTCCATACTGCATTATGTGAGACAAAGTGCTGGTGAACTGACAGTTCTTCCCACAGCAGGTACTGCTGCTTGCTCCTTCAGTTTTTTTCTACCCACACACTGACCCTGACCAAACTTTAGCAGATTATGTGGCTCAATGAGGCTGTTAATAACAGGTAGTGGGATTGCAGGCAGGCTGCTTACTGCTACAGTAGTTTTGTTTGAATGGGCTCAGATTTATCTTTATCCTTGGTTGGCACAGTGGTAATGGGCAAAGCACATAGTCATTTGCTAAAAGGAGGGATGAACTGAGGTACTTACGGTTTCTTACCACCGTCGTTTCTCCTGACATGCTGGTTCTTTATGCTCAACCTCTGCAAATAGTCTTGTCTTGACACCTTTTGTGCTCTGGAGAGGGGAGCAGAGCAGTGAAAGAAATAATGCCTTGAGTGCTAGAAACTGCTGAATGGGTTTTCCTGGAAAATAGGGTTTATTTATGTTTGGCCTATGGAACACAAAGCAATGGGGAGATCTTGCTGTATGCTCACGCCTAATGTAAAGACATAGAGAAGGTAATGTCAGATATCTCTCAAAGGTGCACGATTATAAGAGAGGCAGCAGACAAGTTACAACAAGGGAAATTGCAATCAGATATAAAGAAGAATTTTACCCTGAGGGTGATCCCACACTGGTGTGGATGCCCGGAGGGGCATGCATCTCCATAGGATGCATTAGAGCACCTGGCCTTGTGTAACCTGACTTCAGCTGGTCATTCCCAGCCTAAATTACTCTGTGGAGTCTATGGTTTGATACCACTAAATGGATACCTGGGTGTTTCTTGTGTTCAGTAGTACACCTCTTCTGTTACTGAACTTGGTATAATTCTATCTACCCCAATCTGTATTTTCACTTAAGAGCAATGGAGGAATGAAGTACCGTGAAGACTCCTTTGAAGTTTCTGGTAATCAGGATGTTGAGCTATTTATAGCAACATCTGTAGCTTTGGAGACCTTTGATAATTTCATATCAGAATACATGTATCTTCATCCTGATCTGTTTCCTATACTCATTGTGGCATTTTCTGTTGCACTGTGTTTATGCAGCATCCAAGGGCTATTTTCCACATGTGGAAGCAAACAATGGCATAAGTTTCTTTATCACAACTGGTGTAACTAAGAAAAAACATCAAGAAAGCAGACGTTGGAAGTTACTCTGCTACATGCCTCATGCTGGAAGTCAATTGATCATCAAAATGCTGCTGAAAAACATGTTTTAAAACACATCCTTAACGCATGAAAAGATATTTTGCCGTTCTGATAACCTGAGCATGTTGGGGTATGATTGAAGGAGGGAGGAAAACAAGTGCAACTGCTGAGTCTGGCCCCAACATGTTAGACTGGGTTAATAAGCCTGACCTGGCACGATGTGTTTCTCCAGCCGAAGCTGAGGGGTCATGCACAGAGCTGGGAGCAGAGGAGGCTTGCTGGCTCAGCTGGTATGTAACATGCACAGCATCCTTAGCGCTGGTCTTGATGTGACAGTAGATTCTGATGCCTTACACTGAAACTTCTCTTATTTGTATTTTCGTCAATCCTAAAGCTATTCAAAACTTTTTTTCTGCCAGAACAGATATGCCTTATACATGAAACACAGCAAAAAGCATTTTCTTTTTAATTTTCAGGAAGTCTGTTATTGCCAAAACATAAACTGCTTAAGGGGGAGGAGGAAAACTGGAGTAAGTGATATTTGGCAGGATCCACATGTTCCATTTGTTTGTGCAACAATCACTGCTGCTGACTTACAGTTTCAGAGGCAGCTGCATAAATATAGGGCTGTGATGGCTGAGGAAGCCAAGAGACAAGCTGTAGAAAAATAACAGATAAAACCAGACATGTTCTGGATGCCATAGGGTAAGGCAGAGCTGAGCTATGCTGCAGAAGTCTTGCTGTGATGTTACATACCTTCAGCATCCTTTTTTGGAGTATCTTTCATGTTGTTGTTGGGAGGCTTTATTTGGTTTTCTTATAAGGGCTTGCCATTAAAGTTTCATAGTGAAAGAGACTCAAGCCGTTCCTGAAAAGATTAAGGAGAGTTTCTGATGCAAGCAGTCAAAGCCTGCTTTTCTGGGCACTGTGCTCCTGAGCAAAGGGGCCAGAAAGCCTTGAATATATCAGCTTCTGGTGTTTGCTAGCTGCTTATATGTGGGGTTTACTCATTTGTTTTGTGGAGAAGTCCTAGGAACTGCAAACTAATGCATTTAGTAAGTGCTGGAGCTGCTGCCACCCAGTCCCTGTGAGAGCTGACCTCCCCCAGATAAGGCCAGCACAAGCTTTTTTATACAAGGCTAATGCCTGCAGCCTTACAAGGGTCCTGCTGTGCAAGTTAAGCGTTGTCAGGCACTCTAATTTCTTTTTGCTTCTGATAAAACAGTAAAGAGATCATGGTGTCAAAGAAGTAGGCTGGAATAGAAAAGGTTATCTACTGGGGGTTTTTAATTGCAAATATTCACCTATAAAGCTTATTAATTGCTGCATGTTTACCAGAATTGAGCAATATTATGAAGCAATGCTATTAAGTTGTGACACAGCTCACAGGCAAATGATGCATCTGAGCAAGAGCATCTGAATCTCAGTTTACAAGACATTGTTTTTATCTTTCTTTCTTTTTTTTTTTTTTACTAGTGTGTTAGCTTTGTATTTCTTAAAGGCATACCTCATGGATTCCCTGTGCATGTATTGGTTTTAGCTTACAACTGGATACATTGCTTCCCTTGCTGACCAGATCAGGTAATGCCTCTGCCAATTCGCTTTAAAATTACCCTATAGGAATTCCTACAATATCACTACATTCTAGGATTCTCTCATTTCTGGTGTACCTGTTACACTTCATCAGAAAATCCTCCTACATGCTTCCTGTCCTTAAATAACTGGTCAAATAGGCGTGCTGAATGTCATTTAACATGGTGCTATAGGCTAAAAGCTCAGCAGGCTTGTTTTAAGTAGGCTGCAGACTAAGGAAACATTTGGTTTCTCTAATGATGCTTGCAATTTTCACCCCTTTTCTTTGCTTTTGGAATAAAACTATGTGATATATATGCAGAAATCGCCAATTTGACTGGCTCCATCTCACTCTGGGCATACGGACAAAGTTTTACTTATCATAAGGAGAAGTAAAGGCAGTTCTCAACAGTTCGTACTGTTTGTAAGGAAACTCTTGAGAAAAAAAGGTGTTTGGGTGAAATGTTTACATGTTACGTGTGAAGGGGCACTTGTTTGTTCATCTGCTTTTGCAAGGTACATTTAAGTGGTGATAGTCTTCTTTTAGCAATAGCACTGTCATTCCTGCATTCCCAGGTTGTATAAAAATGATGATTAATTTTCTCCATGCTTGGTGCAATTTTATTTTTTATTCGAATCAACCATCATAAATAGTAAAATACCATGAGAAAAATTAATGCGTTAACCAACTGATGGAATTAAGCAGATATATGTACCTTCTGATTTTATTCCTCCAGGTCAGGGTTGTATTTGGATTATAAGGACAGTTCTTTCAGGTTCTGTCAAGGTCCCTATTCTCTTTCCAGGGATACCTGTAATCCACAGGCTGAGGTGAGCCTGTGCTCCAATTAATTCTCTCAGTAGAGTTGGGGGGAAATCTGAGTCAGAGACAGAAGCTGGTTTTGAACTAGAAAGCAATGAAGTGAATTATTTTTTCTATTTTTTTTCCAAGGATGGAAGACGGGAGGTTTCATGACATCTCTCTGGAGCCGTATGAATTGAGATGAGACAGGACATTTCTTTATATTAAATTAAATAACAGTTTGGCTGAGTAAATCAATCTACAAAGTGCCTCTAAAGCTTTTTACTAGGGCTTGCTCCTATACTGTTGATCGATTTTAGTGAAAGATGTGAACCTGAAGGGCATGCTTCTATGTGGAGTTTTTTTCTGGGGGAAAAAAAATAAAAAGTATTGTTGAGTAACTCCATGTGTGGATGTGCAGGGTAAGAGTGCTTTTTGATGGTTTAGTTGGATCCAAGAAGCTGAATATAATTGTTGATACCAGATTTCCTGGTGGACACAAGAAAAACTATTTACCCAGTCACAACAAAGTTCTGCCATATGTTTGAAGAGACTACAGATTCACTTACAAGATAGTGGCAGCTTGTAGATAGAAATGGTTTGCCTTTCCACAGAGGCATTGATAGGAAAACATCCCAGCATTTTAAACATGTTCTGCCCTCGTATTTTAAAGTGGGTTTCACCCCCATTTTATAGATGAGAGAACTGAGGCACAATGAATTTTAGCAACTACCTGATGCTGGAAACCTGGAAAGGATCATATGCAACAATAATAGCTGGTTCTGGGTAGCAGTAACCTAATCACTGGATAATATTGTCTTAGAGCGAAAAGCCTGGAGGAAAAAGCTGAAATATCTTCCTTCTCCTCTCTGTCTTTATTCATGTCTGCATATCAGAGTCACTGAGCTGGAAAAATGTGAATGTTGCTGTACAGCGTGAATGAACTAAGTTGTCTCCTGTGCAGTGAATGCATTTCCCATCTGGGTAGGACATTGCAAGGCTTTCACGAGTCTCCAGCACTATTTCACTCAAGCAAGACCTTCTTGAGGACATCCTGGTTGAATGTGGCTTTTATTTTTCTGTCTGGAGGGACACAGCAGTCGCCTGTTTTCAGCACAGCCTTTGTCAGAGTCTGTGGCAGTCTGCATAAACAGAGCTCTGGTGCAACAGGGGCTGATTCAGAGATTCAAGAACCCTAGCTGTAACTAATCCCTATTAGTTAAACAGGAGCTTTCCTGAAACCACAAGCTGGGGAAAAATTGCAGCAAAATGCTCAAAGGGCAATGCAGATAAAATCAGTGCAGGAGTGATGAGACTGCTGCTTCTTCCACATCAGATTGCTCCCCACTTAGGTACTTAACTGCTTAAAAAAACAAACAAAACCCCACACCACCAAATCCCTCTTCAGTCCTGACATTTCAAAACAACTCAACTTTGCACAAGTAATGAGTTTGCCTCCTGGCCCAGGATTCCAGAGGAGGATACTGTGAACCTTGCTCTGCTCTGAGATGGTTTCCGGGCTACAAATACACTTTCTATTCTCCAGCTGCATTTTGCACTGACATGAAATGGAGATGGTTAGATTGCCTTCTGGTGCCTGTCTGTGCCAGTAACCACTGCTGGTGGCCTGTTGTTTCTCCGGTGATATTCAGAGGTGATGTGCAAAGGGGAAGAAGTTAACTGTTTGACAAGGGGCAGCTTTATTTACAGAGTGCTGCCAGGCTAAAACCAGTTGAACTGCATGAAATAATGTGCGTTGGTTTGGAAAAAGAGATGAAAAGCTGTGACACTGATTGGCAGTGAAAAGCCTATGAAACAGCACACATCAGTGGAGTAATTGACTGCTTCCTTCACATACATTATTTTTTTCCTTGCACTATTCCTTATGCACTTGAACAAGCTGCAATTCATATTGATTGAGTGTAACAAACTTAAATAATTTTCTGAGGGCAGTGTAAGATATGAAACGGAACTTGGATGAGATGGTCTTTAAAGATAATATCAGTAATATTAATAACAACCATTTAGGGATTATCCACAAAACCACTGACTCACAAACTGTACTGGCAAAATAATTTCCTTCACAGGAATTCAGCCAAGCAAGGGAAGAGGACAGTGCTGACTTTGCAGCCCTAATGCACCCATCTCCCCGTATCCATCTGCTTCGCTGAGTTCCAGAGCTGCTTAGAAGCTTGCTCAGTGTTGCTACCATGAGTGTTGTTCAGTTATTTCCAGGGATCTGGGGTTTGAATTTTGGAAAGGTGAAAACCTTTCTGTTGGGTGCCTGCCGGCCTTGCTGCTTTTAATGGATTTTCCAGCGTGTGAGTGTTGGCTTTGCACCCTTATAAGGAGGATCAGGTTTTCTTAAAAACCCAGCAGGAGCCTGTGCAACTTACAGCTAAAGCAAGCATGTCTGCAGGACCTGGCTGCCCAGCCCAAACCTCATGTGCTACTGGTGCACAACCCTGCAGCCAGGCAGAATTAACCTGTGCTGCAAGATTAAAGGACAACCTTGGGTATGGAGAGGACATCAGAGAAACAGAATGCTTCTGCCAAAGCAGCGTACTCTGCAATAAGCAGATAACTCTGAGCCGCAGCACTAGGTCTGGAATCAAGCTGTTGCAAAGTTTGTCCTGCTCAGATGTAGGGTTTCTTCATAAACATCTCCATGACAGAAAAAGGTTGCGGTTTCTCTTTTGCTGCTCTGGATTCATAAACCCAAGCGTTCTACTGTCGAGTATGTTCACCTTATGTTTTTCCCTTGATCTGTTGTGAGCTAAGGGGTAGTGTGGGGTTTAGTCTTTTTTTTTTGGTTGGCTTTGCTTTATTTTGCAATGAAACCATATGCTATTCTTATAGTCTCACACAAGGTTCTGTGAGCTTCTGTCATCACAATATTTACAGAGGCTGTTGCGTACCAGCTATGAGACTTTACTGTGGCATCAAACAAGAGAAGCTGGGTCCCTGTGAAATGTGTGGGAACAAAGTTTTCCTTAAGCGGAAGTATCTCTGAATGTTTCCTAACCTCTTTGCATAACTGCCAGTGGGTTATGTAAGGCAATGAGGTAGAAGCATTCTCCCTTTGGAAACTGCTTTCCAGGGAGGGAAAGGAAAGTATGGCAGAGAAGAAGGCAAAGAGCAGGCAGGGCAAGTGTCCTGTTGGCAGTGAAGCCAGCCTGGCCCCTGTGCATGCCCGGGGGCTTCCTCCATTCTTCCCCACCTTGGTTTCTGTTCGATGGGGCCCAGATCTCATGACTGACACAGACACAAAAAAAAACAGTGGCAAGGACAAGTTGTCAAAAATGAATACTGGTGCCTCGTACTTGAGCAGGGCACGTGACCAATGAACGTGACTTTCCTCTGAATCCAAAGGGCTGAAGAGGATGTAACTGAACCATTTTCCAGTGTAAAGATAGAGTTCAGTGGCATGTCTCAAGGGATCATGCTAAATTGATACTGTGGAAGATAATTAAATCGTGTGGCAGTTTATCACAGTACATGCCTGAATAATCAGTGACTTTAAAGGCCTTTAAATCATGGGTTTGTAGCTTGACTGTATTTATGAACTGTAAAGAACTCCTGTGGATTTTGCTTGGCTGTTAGATTCTGTGGAAGAGAAGTTGATTTCTGCTCAGTTGAGTGGTGCCACCTTGTTCGAAATGATGAAGTACTGACCTGGCCGTGGGCAGCCAACTCTGTTGCTTTCAAAACCCAATCGGAAGTTTCAGAGAGGGTTAAAAACTGTCAAAACACTTATGTGAATACCCTGATATGTCAATTCCATTCACATCTTCTCCTTTTCTCTGTCAGTTATTCCCTCTGCATTTTCCTCTCTTTAAGAAAATCTGGAAACGTTGTCTGCAATTCTTGTATTATTCCTTCTCATATTATGTTAGTTCCCACTAGTGGGAAAACAGAGCAGCAAAACCTTATATCTCAAGAGAGAGAAAGTGCTTCTGAATCGGGTTGGTCATTGTAGGCAAGGCCAGAGTTGCTGGGAGATTTAGAGCACAGATTCCTTGGTGATGCGTGCTGCTTTTCAAACTACCCTTTCTGAGCATCATGAGAAAGACAAAACCTCTCAGGCACACCTGATTTTATTGCCACCGAGTGATGTTTTCATTCTCTCTGTTGTCATATCGACTCAACCCCCCCTGCCACAAGTTAGGACACAAAAGGAGTAACAAATTAACCCATGTAGTTAGTAAGGCATCTCCAGGATGTTTTTGATGTTTGACTTTGCAAAAGCTCCATCTGATCTATGCTTTTTGCACCACTATTTTGTTCCTTCTTTTCTCTGTATCATCCTCTTGGTAATTTTTAATTCCTGCCCTGGTCATGCACAGATGCAAATTTCCACCTTAGGCTTCCAGACCTACATTAACATATGTCAAATTCATCACGGTGACCTGGGCCCCGGGAGCCCAGTGTATCACAGTCTGTGAGAGCCTGGGACTGTCTATATTTGCCTTGAGTGTCAGTCTAAGACCTTAGAAATCTCTGTTTTTTCTCAGAATGGCGTTTTTCCTAATTAATCTCCATACGCGACCAGGTGTATGTACACATAGAAAGACAAGCACAGATGTATGTGCAATTAACCCTTGCCTTCCTATGACTGTATTTTGTATGTGCAACTTAGAGGCTTACATCCTGTTTACAGCTGTGTCTTTCTCACCAGGCTCATATATTACAACACCGAATAACTACAGATACCTTGTGTTGTTGTTTTTTTCTGCAGTCTATTATCATCTAGTTCCTGAAATGATAAATTTCAAAGTCTTAATATTTTTCCTGTAAGAACAAGAAATACTAGGGAAAAAAAATGCTCAAATAGAACTTTGTTGCCCTTTTGTTACCTGTAAGTCAGTCTGTTGAAATCAATTGAACCTTGTCTGTTCAGTTCTTTCAAGATACAAGGCATTAAATATGTTATTTGAAATTCATAAAATAAATAAGTTTTATAACTCAGGGCCCAGCTGCATCAGCATGAAAAAGCTGTTGTACTTTACACATCCTGCTATCTATCACTCAAGCATATCTAAAAGCAAATTTGGTAATTGTTTCCTGCTTTCAAATAATACAGTTGAACTGTAAATTTTCAGTATGCCAGATTTAGCAATTCACTAATAAGGCAGTGTCAAGAGCTCCATCTTTCAAACTCTCAGGTGCAGGAATGAGATTGCTGTCAGAAATGCTTTGCACGCGCTCTTAGTCCTGCCGCTCCCATCTGTGGCCGTGTAAAGATTAGATCTGAAAAATACCTTGTTAAAAGCAAGGTTTCTAAGGCTCGAGCATCAAACATGTATAAAGTAGGAAATGGCAAGATTGAGGCAGCCTTTTACAGGTTTAATTTGCTACCCACACCTCTTCTGCTGATATATATACATTCTTGTGCAGTCTTTGAAGACATAATCAATTATTCTTTTTCCCCTAAGCTTTCTCTGGGAGTTAATTAGGGCTGTCTAGTGAAGGAGATTTATAAAAAAGAGGTATCCTACCTAAAAATCTTGGGAGGCATGCAAGTCCATAGAAAAAATAAATCTTTTAATGAGCTACAGAAGTAATACAAACTGTTTTCTCATGGTTTCCAGCCTTTCACTCCTTAAACCCCCTTTCCCTGCTTTTTCTTCCATAACTTCTCTGCCCAAGTACATGGCTGGTGTGTCTGAGCCCATTCTAAGTCCTTACCTTTACCCAAGTGTGCACAGTTTGAAGACTGTTAATTATCTTTGACATCACTGACCTTCTGTGAAATTGGGCTGAAACTGCCCAGCAGGTTCACACATTGTCAAGGAAGGTGAACAGATGGATGGAGAGAGAGTTTGACTAACCTCAGGTTTATTGTTTTTCAGTCATCTGTAAGAGCAATCCCAGGCACAGCTACAGGCTGGGCAGAGAAGAGATTCAGAGCAGTCCTGCAGAGGACTTGGGGGTGCTGGTCGATGAGAAAATGAACATGAGCCGGCTTCAGTGTGCGCTTGCAGCCCAGAAAGCCAACCGTATCCTGGGCTGCATCAAAAGGAGTGTGACCAGCAGGTCGAAGGAGATGATCCTGCCCCTTTATTCTGCTCTCGTGAGACCTCACTTGGAGTATTGTGTGCAGTTCTGGTGTCCTCAACATAAAAAGGACATGGAACTGTTGGAACAAGTCCAGAGGAGGGCCACAAGAATGATCAGTGGACTGGAGCACCTCCCATATGAAGATAGGCTGAGAAAGTTGGGGCTATTCAGCCTGGAGAAGAGAAGGCTGCGTGGAGACCTCATAGCAGCCTTCCAGTATCTGAAGAGGGCCTATAGGGATGCTGGGGATGGACTCTTCATTAGGGACTGTAGTGATAGGATGAGGGGTAACGGGTTCAAACTTAAACAGGGGAAGTTTAGATTGGATATAAGGAAGAAATTCTTTCCTGTTAGGGTAGCGAGGCACTGGAATAGGTTGCCCAGGGAGGTTGTGAATGCTTCATCCCTGGCAGTGTTCAAGGCCAGGTTGGGCGAGGCCTTGGGTGATATGGTTGAGAGCCAGGTGTCCCTGCCCATGGCAGGGGGGTTGGAACTTGATGATCTTAAGGTCCTTTCCAACCCTAACTATTCTATGATTCTATGATTCTATGATACCAAGTAACTCGATCTTACTTGTACCACAGATTCCTGTGATGTAAGTCATTTAAGCCAAATTTTTCACAGATAGTTGCAAATTTGTATTTTTAATTTTCTGAGCACCTTGTTTTAGTAGACTGATTTGTGAAAGCGCTACAGCATTCATGGCTGCATTTGAAATCTATGGGATTGCGTAACATTAAGTAGTGACAAAACACCAGGCCTGAAAATCTTAAACTGAGCCAAAACATGTTGGTGATTCACCAGGACGCTGTGGGGATGACTGCCAGCAATAACACTTGGGAAAATTTATAATGATCCTCTTACTGGGTTTTGGCTGGTGATGTTAACAGACCTTTGGAGCTTTATGCTAAGCAAGAAGAAAGCAGTCTCTTGAATGGCTGCTCACTCATTCAGCTCTATCTGGCCATGTACCAAATGAGGTATGTTCCTAAAAGAAAGATAATTTGTCATCATGGCCTACGATTGTACCATTTTGAACACAAGGAATTATTTCCCACAGACATGATGTAAAAGGAAGAGAGGGGAAGCAGGAGGTTGAACAACCTTAATTCAATGCTGAAGTATTTATTTCACAGCTTAAACAAAAGTTCTCAACTGAAAAACATTGTTCTCACATAGAACAGGCTTATGCACAAATATAACATTAATATTTTTCAAAAGCTTCTTTCTTGTGGCCCCTATGATTAGAGACTTCCAGCAAGTGATCTACATATAACTGCAAAGCAGAGCAAATTTTGGAAGGCAGCTTGGTACCCATCAGGGCTGGGGAGAAAGGAGGGAGCAGGAAGAGGGAACTGTGCTCTAGTAAGTCACTTGTCTGCCAAAAACCAGACCCTGATATTTGGTACAGAGGGAAAGTGAAGCACGAGGGAATGTAATTCTAATAAAATATCCCTAGTACACAGTCTTCTTCCTGAAAAATGCAGCCTAAGATTTCTGTGTTGGAGCACAAACTTTACCTGAACCGCTAAAGAAAATGGGCCCTTACCTTATCACAGAGAAAAAAGATATTCTCTTGTCTCACCATCCAGACCATATCAGAAGCATTTCCATCCTGTGATGCTTGCTTGTCCTCCAGTTTGTCTCTTTTTCACTGTGGCTCTGACACTGGCTAGAGCACTGTTGTTTGTTTGGCCTTTTCTTTTTTAAGTTAAAAAATAGTAATAAAAAGAAATGTAATGGGGTAGTTCATTCACTGTGGGATGTCCATAAATACAAGATGTGCCCGCAACTCCTGAAATGACAAAATATAAAAGGATTGCAGAATTATGGTTCTGTCCTCCAGAACCGAGAAACACATTTTGGAGACAAATAGAGAAATCTCAGCTTTAAAAAATGAGCCCTTATGTTGTGCTGGCAACCATGTTAATGAAGAAAAATATATTTATTGTTTGCTGTCTAACTGACAATAACACCCAATATCCAGAAAAAATTAATGCCAGCTGAGTCCAGCACATTTGGAGACAGCTAACAGAGTATGATACTTCCTAACTTTTTCATTTACTGTAGGGCTAGACTTGAATATTTACACTGCAACTGAGTCCTAGTTTCTTCCATGGCAGCCTCAGAATTCACGGCTCCTATTCTCTGCATGCTTCCATGGTACAGATGATAACCAGGATTACATGGATGTCTAATGACTTTGGTAAGATTTGGTGTAGTTTGGTGATCTGCTCAGAGAAACGGGACCATCAGTTTCCCAGTGCACTAGTGAGGCAGGATCATTAATTCCTATTAAAATCAGCAAATTGAAAAAGAAAATGGAATGGTGATTTGCAGATTTCCTTTTAGCAAGCCACAAGTACACCTATATGGTCCTTCCTGTAAATCTTTTTCACCATACCTGGAACAGCTGGAAAAAGCAGACACACGCAAAGATCATAACACTACTTCATGTCAGCTTAGAGAAAGAAATGGAGGTGAAGTTCACAGGCCCCAAAGAGAAAGGCAAAAAAAGCCCACAGGCTCACTCTTTGCCCTTCAGGGAGCAGAAATAATGGGGAGTGAGGAAGATTGAGCGAAAGATTAGGATTTTATAAACTTTACTGCTAGTGTTGAAAAGAGTTACCAACAAAGAACTTTCAGTATAAATTTTAGACGGTGATAATACCAGCAGTATGCAGGGCCAGATGAAACAAATCATCCATCAAACTGTAAAAGACCTATCTCCGCATCCTTTGCCCTTTTGGCAGTGTTTTCTTCCTTTCCCAATTTATTCTGCTCTTGCAGACTCTCCACTCAGCTGTAGAAATTTGCTCTTCCCCTGGAAAAAGACAGCATTGGTCTAGCAGGCATCAGGGTCCAGGGTGACCCTGCTATAACTGTATGTGCATCTCCTGTGCATGGCAGAGGAGACTTTAACCTGGTAAGTGCTAGCTGCATTCTCTACACCTCTTCATACTTTCAGGCAAAGGTGAACAGATCCATCTTTTTCCTTCATAATTCAGATCTGAAGCCTATGGAGCAAGCACGGAAGTGAGCACGGAGGGCAAGAAATGAACTCCACATTGATGGCATCTAGAAGAACCACAGCAGCTTTAAGGTAAATAATTTCCTTTCATGCTCACGTGCCAGTTTACATCTGCACAAGCTAGGGTTGTCTTCATGGTGGTATAGTTGGTGCATCAGCCAGTCATTGCATCATTGCTTCTCTGAGCTGGTGATGTGACTGATGGTGAAGTTCAAAGGATATTTCTTTCAAAGGTCACTGTCCTAGATCATATGTCTGCCTTGCCAGTTTTTCATATTGACACTCTTCTAGATAAGAGAGAAGATGCCCCTGAACTTTGAAGTCTGGTAAAATACATGCACCAGGCAGCACACAATACAGAGAGACATTTGTGTCATCTGTTTTTTTGGGCTCTGGGACAAGATAGCTGGGCTGTAGGCTGAAATGAGGTAAGATCACTTCTGAAAGACTGTCTTACCAATATAGTAAGCAAGTTATTTTGCCTACAAGTAACTGATGTCTTTCCAGTTGATTAAGCATTTTGCTTGTGATTTTTTAATTCGCAGGGAGCAGTCCTGATTTCCAGCTGCAGTGATTTAATTTGTGGATGCAGTACTTGATCATGGTAATGTCAGTTTATGTCTTTGTATGAGGGCTGGATCAGAGACTGTATGAGTCTCTATTTACTACAGCAAATAGTAAATTACTGTAGCAAGTCTGTCAGCCGAAAGTACTGTGGCCAGTTGTAAGCTGTAAGAACGATGCTGGCTTTGTCCCTCTTGTATGAAAAGGGCACAGAAGAGCACTGGATTTGGTAGAGAGCATAGAAGAGGATCTAGGACCAAAGTCAAAGTCATCTGACTTAATAGCTGCTGCAACTGATTCTATACCATCTGCATACTGGCCCTCTACAAAAGGAGTTTTCATTGTGGAATATGATATATGTTGAAAATGAGCGCTACCCAAAATTGTTTTATCCAGCCTCACTTAAATAATGTGGAAATCCAAAGAGTAGTTCAGCACATGTAGTTTGAGCTTGGCATCTCTTGATTGGTGACACACAGGAAAAAAATACTACAGTAATATGGCACTTGCAGAATGACCAGTTAGTGAAGAAGAACTGTGATCATTAAGGAATATGACGAAACCTGGGAAAGTAAACCGCTTAGGGCTGAACAAATGGATAGAGAGTGCACAGAGATTCCTAGCAGCATTTTGGGGAGATAAAGACTACCCAGCTGAGCTGAAGAAAGTTAATACTTAATGTTAATGGTAGAAGATTTAGGGTTGTTCTTTCAGTTTCTCAAGTGTCAGAGATCCATGAGATATAAAAATGTATTTTAGTAACTCTATGTTTTAGAAAAGAATTTTGTTTTTATTTGTTCTCTGCAACTTTGTTTCCAGTGTTTTAATGGGTATTTACATTTGGCTACTATCAAACGTGCATTTTCCCCATTAAGGAATACCTGGTTTAAGAGAGATCCTGGGTGACTTTCACAGGAACGAGGTGTACTGATTATCCACTATATCCACAATTGTTTTTACAGCTGGATGCAGTATGCATTGAGGCCATACCATCCACCGAAGCAGTCTCAAGGCCACCTTAGACTGCCATCACAACCGTCTGTTACCATTAAACTACAACATTAAAACTAATCAGGTACAACATTAGAATGCCACCATGGCAGTCTAATGGATGTCAGCAAGTATTTTGTTTAGAGACAGTGACAGTCTGGTGATGCTCAGTTTCATAAGTTGCTATGTTTGGAATGACTATCTTTAAACTCATTTCATACAACCAACAAGCCAAATTCTTCTCAGCTTCACAGCACTTGCTCTTAGCAGCAAAAATCACAATGAGAATATGATTTTTTGTCATTGTACACAAGTCCTGAATTTATCTGAGAGTCTCTGGCCTGGAATGTTTCTTGCTAAGCCTTGAGAAAGGGTTGAGAGGCAGTATTGTGAAAAGCAAAGTTTTGAGGATAAATCTTTCCTCTAAGGTGTTAATCAGTGATCCTCTGACAAGGAGCAGTGGGTTGGAGGGAAGTTTCAATGACCAAGTGTCTGCAACCTGTCAGGGCTGTAAAGGGAGAAACAAATCAAGTACTTGTGGATGCTATTCAATAGCACAAGCACACACAGCACCCAAGGACATGAATATTCAAGGATGTGTTTTCACTATCCCAGAGCTCATGCAAGCTCTCAGTGAGATCCGCACTTTGTATTTCATTGGTAATGCTTTGTATTTCAAGCTGAATACTAACTTCAAGAATCAGTAGAAAGTGAAGTTCACAGAAAAATGATAATGGAAACAGTTTTGGGTAAAGAAACTTCATAGGAATTTTTAAGCAAAAAATATGTATGTTTGGTATGGTATTTGAAACTGCTGATTTTACCCACACTTTACAAGTGCAAAAAAAAAGGTAAGTGCAGTGCTATGTCTGTTTTATATATCTGTATATATGTACATAAGTATGTACATGTGTGCATATACATATATACATAGTTATCAGTGTCACTGAAGAATCTGAAAACCTAGTATGTGTTCCAGTGTATCAGGTGTACGAACTACGTAACACAATAGTTACGCATATTCAGGAACAAATCCACTTACTTTGTCATCCATGGGAAATAATTTCTGATAGATGCACTAACAGGGGAACTATAGTTGAGAACAAAAAAATTTTCATTATAGTTTTCCATTTCCATTTTATGTTGCTTCTACCAAATAACTTACTCTTCAATTCTCAAACCCATAGTAGTAATGCACAAGGGCCATTGCTCCAATAGTCCTTAGTTTGCTATCCTAGGTATTTCTATTCCTTCTAAAGAAAGTTTTTTAGACCATGCTGACCAATAAAGCATCTATGCCTAAATGAGATGTTGTTCCCACTCCAACACCCCAACTCTCCTCCACCCCCCTTCTCCCCCCCCCCCCCCCCCGCCCCATATTTCTTCGGAAGAATATAAAAAAAACCCTGGCATATGGGGTTTTATGGCATATGCCTGAGCTTGAATTCTTGTTCCCTTTTGTACTTTGAAAGGTTTAAACCAGCACTGCACATTTTTCACTAGCAAATGACTCCTACATCCCTGCTGTTCTGCTGCAATCCATCGGTTTCATGGGGTGCAGCACAAATGCACACACTTGTTATTGTCATAAATCCACTGTGCAGTTTGCCTTCTTTCTGTGATGTTCTCCAGGAGACCTGTATGTTCACTTCTAAGTAATGATCTACAGGCATAAGATAGCTTTGAGGGACTGCTGAACCCGCACTATGATTTAATTGTTTAATTGTTGATCCATGTTTTCCCACCGTATGCAGCCCTACCCGTCTCTTTTTCCCCTAACAGATGTAACTAATCACCAACACACCTGTAAGCAGTGTTTCCTAGAAGAGCTATCACTTGTTTCTTCTGTAATAAAGGAGTCAGGCTGAGTGATGATGTGCATATGGATGTCATCTCCAATATAAATACTGCAGGAAAGGTGAGTATGGAGTGCTATGCTAAGAGAAGGAAAATGAAACATGAAAGTATTAGTTGGGGAATATCTGGCAGAGAACCAGCATGGCAGAAAATTAGGTGTTATAGAAATTTACAGGTGAAACATGAGTCAGCAATGGGATGCCAAAACCAGGAAATGGTATTCTGGGGTATATTAACAAAAATGTCGTATAGAACACATAGGACATAATTACTGTGGTCCATTCCTCCTTACAGGGACTTCTACAGGAGGTGGGTGCTGGCTTTGGTGGGTGCTGGCTTAGGTCACTGAGCTCTGAGGAGACTGTAAGAGAAAGAAAGAAGAGGTTCAGAAAATAGGACCTATAAATAGAGGTTGAAACAACTGGCTGTCTTTGGTCTAGAAGCAAGAAAATTCAAGTGAGATATATGTCTTCTAACACAAAAAGGACTATAAAGGTTATAAAGAAGGGATTGATAAAACTGTTGCTGTATAATTGTCAGTTCTGCTAAGGGAAAGGACAAAATGAAATGAGTTTAATTTGCAACAAAGGAGAATTCAGACTTACATTTTTGGGTTTGTTTTTTGTTTAGAAAGCGTATTGATTTGGGCTGAAAATTTAAAGAACTATCCTAATACTAAGAGCAATAAAATTCTTCAACAGCCTTCCAGTAGGAGTAATGATGATAAAATGGTAAAGCTCACTATTTTTAAGGTGGACTTTAAATACACTCTGTAGAACATACAAATCCAAATAGAAAGATAAATGGATTTTGTAAAGTCAGTACTCCAGTATGTACTGATACAGTTAACAATAAAGACTCAATAGTGCTTATAGTGGTCCTGTTCTGATTTGTCTTTAACTTTTTGGAATCGTGAAGTAACACTTCCTTTTTGCTCTTTGTAAAGGTCAGGTAGCACTTCATAGAAACTTGCCCACATTTCATCAGGGATGTAGATGGTGAATTTTTACAACCAAGCAGTATTTCTGGACCTGCAGTATAGAGTTATAGCATTAGCCTTACATCTCTCCTTTGCTCTTTTGGTTGTTGCAATGTATTGCTGTCCCACAGCTTTTCAGCCAGATAAAATTGTTTCAGGGAACCAGATTCCAGGCTTCTTTATAGCACAATCCATTATCTATACTACAGGTGTGGCCTTTAACATTGCCAGCACATGCTATAAGGGAACCAAAGTCCAACTGGAAATCTGGGATGTTTCTCATAAAATAAAACAAGTATGTTTTCTTCTACTTGCTGTCTAACCTACTTGCTAGCAGCAGTATCTGAAAGTATCATCTCTAGCTGGCCCATACTGTACGTATAAAAGACAATAGAAGCACTTAAATTTGAGAGGTTGAGGCAAGAGCTTTGTATGCCATAGATGAAGACCCTGAAGGAAGGTGAAGGGATTTGTTGATCTTTGCAGTCTGTGTCTGGGAGAGTGCCCAGTCAGGACACTACTTTGCTGGTGCTCCAAACCCCACAGAGAAGGTACCATGGAAGATCAGGTATAATAGTGGTTGCATGATTATTTTTGATAATTTAAATAATAGCTGCTTTGAAAGAGATGGTTGTTACCCAGCACTTTGCTCCATGCCATACTTTCTCTGTGTTGCCTTGTGTTGCCCCTCACATTCATGCACTCTCATGCAAGTGAGGTCAAGGGGCTGCTCTATCTGAAAACCCAGCAAGAAGCAATAGCTTCCCGCCAGATCAACTTTTGCTCTCCCACACACATTAATGCAAGTGCCAGTGGAAAGCTGGGAGCAGTAACATCTCCCAGGGTACCAGGGAAGGGTGCGATCAAATGTTTCAGATGCTGTCTGCACCTACACTGGCTTAAAGATGCCATGAAATGCAGCCGAATCGGTCTGCTGGTACGCCTTGGTTATTTGGATGAACATGGCAGATGCTTAGAGAAGCTTGAGCAGCTTCTGGTTCATCTGAAGGAGGAAAGCAGCCATGTCTCCCAATAAGGCTAGGCAGCTCTTCCATGGAGCCCCCACAAAGCTGCAGAGCTGGGACAATTTGCTCATGTCCCAGAATGCAGCTCTGATAGGTACCATTTCCATGTGCTTCAGGTGGACACTTAGTTTATAAAATATATAGTACGTATAGAAATGTGTATGTACAGCAATTGAAGGCACAATATACTTCTATGATTTATCTTCCTAACTAACTTATTCTACTTTGCTAATACATAAATTCCTAATAAAATTTCCAGTTTGGGGGGGAGGGTATTTCTAGAGGCAAAAGATTCCCTCTGAGTCATTGTTTTTGTCCTTGTTCTCACATTTTGCTGAGAGAAAAAGGAAAGAAAGGAAATTATAAACTGAATGGCCTCATGAAATTACAAATTATAAATGAGGAAGCTGATCTGAAGTGTGTGACAGGACACCCTGCCATGCTGCTTTCTCAGTCTTTTACTTTTTTGTAAATAACATCTCCTTTCCTAGGCAAGAAAACAGAAGTGACACTATATGACTTGTCATTTTATGAAATGGCTGAGTACCATTTTAAGTTCCAGTGGAACGTTAAGTAGTGTGGTAGGTGAATTCCTAGTTCTGCTATAATGTGTTCTCTTCCTTTTTTGCCTTAAGTTGTGCAGGAAGCCTTTAAACCACCATGACTAATAAGGAATTTTCTAAAGAAAATTGCTCTTGACATGTTATTCTTTGTAAATAGGTGCAGTATTTTGCCTAGTCTGGTATTAATGCTTGCTTTTTGGCATTGCTACAGAGCAAGGTGAGCAGCCTGCCCTGCCGTATGCACAGCTCTGGCCTCCAGGCAGCTTTGTAGATTTCTACATTGCTCATTCCTTCCCTGTGTTTCCATTACAGTGGCATAGGTTGAGACTTCTTACACTTGAATGCAAGAAAAATAAGCCTGCCTCCAGTCTTCCTTCTTTCCCAAAACCAAGGCGTCCTCAAGTAACTGAAAATGGATGCTTGTTTTCAAAGACAAGGCTTCAAGCTGAAGACAGATTGTAAGCCTGGGCTTTAAGAATTATCACATTTCTTGATGAGGGGGTGAAAACTTCTCTTTGATGGAGTTTAGTGTATCTCCAACTATAATATAGGTACCAAAAAAGCTGATTCTGAAACTTCCATTAAAATAAGTAAAATATGAGATTTGTTTGCACACAATAAAACAAATGTATTGCTCCAGGACCAAACTCACTTGCACAGGGAAGATAGATGCAATGTAACTACCTGAATGCAATGATGTGCAATGCATCTTATCTGGAAAATACACTTTTTATTTTAAGAGTGAAATGCCAGCCTGTTATTTGTAATCAAATTCTGTCCCTTAGATTTCACCTATCCTGAATTTTGAGGTTTGTGTATGCATGCACAAATTCCAAATACAATTCAGTTAAAAGTGCTGAATGTTACCTCTTTGGAGGTTATGTGTTTCATGGTCTTGATCAGTAACAGTGTCTACTTGATGTTTTTCCTTGGACTTGGAAAAAGTCAATCTAAGCACAAAGAGTATTCCTTCTTTCCTACCATTTTTTACTTCTTCCATCTCCATTTGTACACACAGCTGAAGGTTAAAATCCTGTTAGAGTAGGAATTTCCAAAAGCACAACGTTATGTAAGTAAGCCTGCAGAAAATGGGTATCTGACTTCACTGTGTCACAGAAATGCCAGTTGAAGGCATCTCTGGGAGTCCCCTCCAAGCTGAACTGTTGCCATACATGGCCTTGCCTGGCCAAGTTCTTTAAAACCTCCAATGACAGAGGTTCCACCATCTGTATTTTCCTTAATGCCCAACCAAATCCTATGTGGCAATTGCCTCTTACTACATTGTCTGTAACTACCAAGAAGAGTTTGGTTTGGCTCCATCATCTTTCTAACTGTGCTTCAAGTTGTCGTAAGATGCTGTTCCTTTTGTTCCTTTATCTCTGTAACTATCAGAGAAAGCTTTAAATCTTTTCTGTCTGCACTAGAGCTGTGCTATCTCTCCGTGCTTACCAGGACTTAACACAGCTGCAATCTGTAAACTTGTAAATTAAATATTAGCCTGGACATTGAATAACTTAGCACAGAGAGCTGCCTGTACTGGGGAGGTTTGGGACTGACTGCAGACCTTCCACAGCATGCTAACTACTAAAGAAACAAATACACACATGAAATTCCTGATCTTAAATATTTGCTAATTTGGAGACAGATTGTGGTTTGTTTTGGCAAATAATCAAGCCTGAGCAGTACTAGAAAATTTCCCTGCACCCTCCTTGCACAGAAGTGAGCTTTTCCAGCTCTAAATAAGACTCTGATCCAGTATTTGCAAAGAGGTTTTGAGCAAAAGAGCTGGATCCTTGCTTCAATAGTTTTGACTCTACCTAAGGTGCCTGAGCTAAGTGTTTAAAAGTTCGTCAGTCTTTTCATAGGCACTGGAGTTGGCTTTAGACCAAGAGAGGAACATTAATTTTCTCAGAGGATAGTCCAATAACTTAGTATTGAGGCTCTTGAAAATTTTGTGGGGACTATGGTCATGTTCTAATCCACAGTTTAGCATCACCTTAGAAACACCCTCAGAAACAGTTTAGCATCAGCCCAGAGCTAGAAATTAACTGTTACAGGAAATAGGTAGCATACAAAAAGAATGCCAGCTGGACACAATAGCATGTAATAGGGCAGAGCAGTAAATTTAGCACATCACATAACACAGTTTGTTTAGAAATATATTTTCAGAAAAATACTTTTCCACCTGCCTTGCAACTGCTTTTCTAAGGGGAGGGCAAGGATTGTGTAGATGCTGTGGGTAGGGGATCGTATGTTGCAGCTTGTAATTTTGTTAACTTTCAGCTCTATTCAAATTCAGGAATTTTTGCAAAACATTAAATCTGGATGAATAAAGAGGTATAAATGTCTGGCAGTTCAATCCCTGAACCTACAGAATCTAAACTGCATTTATTTCAGGATCAGTGCCTCCCCACTGGAGATCCGGGTTTCACTGTAGAAGTTTTGAGCACATTTCATTGTCACCACAAAGCTGTAATCCTCCTGCTTTTTATTTTAAGGGAAATCAGTTGTGACTTCCTTTAAAAAAAATCTGACAGATTGGTTTTTATAGCTGGAGAAGCAGACTGTCTTCTTTGCCTTGAGGTTGTGAAGACAGAATAATTTTACACTAGATTACAAAAGAAAAATGAAAATTGCTTCTTCTAGCTCTTCTCTTCGTAAACCCATCTAAAGGGAGATTTTCCTTCCATTCTCAGTAACATACACATACATATATATTTATATGTGCAGTTAAAAGTTAAAATCATCTTGTCCTGTCAGTTTTCTTTGTTCAGCTTTCAAACCTTCTACATTACTAACAATCCTTTATCTGC